GATGAATTATCTATTAATGATGGTTCAATTGGACTAGCACGTTCTAATAATTGCAAAATTGTAAAAGGTGCTAGGACGAAGAAAAGTTTTCCTTCCATGGGCTTATTTGCAGAAGAGTTTTCTAATATGAGAAAAGAAACATCAATGAGTTTGAAGAAGTAGCTATTAGAAGAAATGCAATACAACAGCAAAAATTACAAGCTAAAATTGAAGCAAAACAAATGAGACTCAAAAAGAAACCGAGCAGATGAAAATTACATAAATGCCAAACAATAAAATAAACGATTTGAATAAAAGATGTAAATCAGATGGATCACGAGTCAACACCTACACTTGATGGTCAAAAATGGATTGTTGATCAACAAACTTGGATCCTTGAAAAATAAAGAGAAATCATAAATCGTGCACGGAAAATGAGTCAACATTTACAGAATAATTGGTTTCCAAGCATTATCGTCATTTTTTTATGCCTATAATTGGAGGGATATTCCGGTATTTTTATGCGAATTATTTGTAATGTTTTTTGTGTTGTTAATATTTATGTTAATTTATATTATTTGTAAATAATTCATAACTTTTAAAAATTAATTTATGTATGTAAAAATAGACAAAAACAAATGGATTTGGAGAGCACCAGTTTGGAGGCTCTAAGCATGTTTGTTTTCATCTTATTCTTGATTGTTTTCTCTTCCAATTAATGTGAACCAAAACAATAAACTCTAAGAAGTCATCAGCTTTAATTTGCTCTTAAGCTGTGACAGAATTTCGGCAATTCGATATCGTTTAGGTCTTAAAAATATATTTTTTCGATTTGGATTCATTGAAAATTTCTCAAAATCTCAAGTAATAAGATTTAATCTTTGTCTCGGCACTTCTGCGTTTTCTTAATTTGTGTTTCAATTATGTGTTTTTGAAGTTTCATCTATGTAGAAGACATTGATGGTAATTAACGACACCCAAGCATGACGAAATAACGACAACAAACTTCCAGCGATTGCCTGAAAATCGGCAATGCACTTCAGAAAACTACTAGTTCTCAAAATCGAGTATTTTAACAAAAAACGACAACGAACAACATATTGATCTTGGAACAACATTTAAACAAGACACGTGCTTCTAACCTGTCAACATTAAAATAAGACACTATTGAAAAAGATGTAGCCGCTACCTAGGACTCCACCTGTCATGTTCATACGAACCTCGTTTTTCGCTATCGACACGCCGCCTTTTCCCAGACGACGAAGCATCACCCTCAGACGGCCTCTTTTCGTGCCTGTAAGAATGCCTATCTTTTTTGTGCTGCCTTTCAAGGTGTTCTTCATTGTAGTGCCTAGTAGACCTATTGCCATGTAAGCGATCACGACTCGATGACCTTTCGTGCTGACGAGACGAGCTAGTTGGTTTCTCATGCTCTCCGTCAAAGTCTTGACCGGTTTCAGAAGAAAGACTTCTTCTTCTGCTTCTTCTTCTCGGTGGTGATGGGATCTAATTCAAGATTTAAAAACAATATTTTTACTTAGTGCTTTTATTTTCATTTTTGACTGTTTATTACAATAATCGAGTTTGAGACAGCTCGTTCTAAGGCAAGGAAATACTAAGCATGGTTGCTTTTGCTTATTACCTGAAAACGTGACATATATCTTCCTTCGGGAGGAGGTGGTATGCCGAGCCTCTTTAGATCATCAAATGGAATCGGCCTCCTGTTTTCTCACCAAAGTTATATATATATATATATATATATATATATATATATATATATATATATATATATATATATATATATATATATATATATGCAAGTTCAGATTACACCCAAATTAAATTTGCTATGTTTTTGGCACGAAAATGAAGTGAAATGAATATTTTCAAAAAAAAAATATTAAAATCCAAGAATCTTTAAACTGAAGGCAACGTGTTTGCAAGCGACGGTAAAAAAATGCCCTTTTAGAATTTTACAGCTAAACCCATTTTACAGCATAAGAATCACATCAACCATCCGTTTTCCAAACTGTAAACAAGATGAATATCTTGCATTTATAAACTTTAACGACTTATTTCGCGGTGTCTATAAACGAAGATTAGAGTTCAAAAAGTGAGGACTATGCTTATCTATAGTTCACATTCGAAACCAGCACTGAGGCATTTTGCCCTGAATTGATGATTTTTTTTACTTTTACAACCCTTATTCGTAAAAGACGGTACTACTAGATTGATTTAAGAAACTAATTAGTTATATAAATATAAAAATTCTGTAGTTTACAACTTTTTGTTTAATGCAATGTTGCTATACAGAAATCATTCTTTTACAGCTTGATACAAACTCTACCAGCAAATTCACCAAAGACATACTTCATATATATATATATATATATATATATATATATATATATATATATATATATATATATATATATAGATAGATAGATAGAACAAGAAAAGAAGGCTTACAGTGGAGCTCGAAATGGTCTTTCTCGTCCTCCAAATCGAAGTTGTCCTGATTCTTTCTTGCCACCAAGACCACCTCCTATCGAACAAAAATAGTTTTTTTTTCTTTTTTTTTTTAAATTAAAGCTCCGGATATTATACAAGCATGAGGAAAGGAAACGTTCGGGTTACCTAGCCTTCTTGGAATCCAACCAGGCATCAAATGCTGTCTATTGTAGTCAACTATTATTTCCGAATCGTCAATAAAAGAATGATGACCATCCTAAGAAGAAGAAGAATAAACACAATAAGTATCAATAAAGTTTCGAAGATAAATCGAAACAGATAATAGAATTATGTGGTATCAGGGGCAAGAACAGTAAGAATGCACCGTATATGATTGTAACTTTCACAACTAAGCTTGTGTGGTGATAGTCATCGTGACTCGTTAGTATGAAGCAATAAATTTCTCAAAAGCCGTAGGAAATAATGAAATTGGATTATATAATCATTCAGGTGACATGTCATTTCTGAATACAATCAATCACAGGATTTAACTCATAGCTATTAGGGCACGTTTGGCTAAGCTTATTTTAAACAGCTGATAAACTCTTACATCCGATAAGCTGTAACATCTTTATTTTAGGGTTAATTTTTAAACTGTTTGGATAATGATCTATAAGCTATTTTTACTCGTTATAAGATCTTGAATAAAAAGGTGGGGTCGAGGTACTTTTCAAAAAAGATCTTATTTACTCACCAGCAGCTTATTTTTAAAAAAATTTAGAACGTTTTAAAAAAAATACCAAACACTTTGGAAGAGCTTATAAGCTCTAAAACATTTTATAAGCTCTTTTTAACAACTTATAAGCTTAGCCAAACGAGTCGTAAATCAAATTGAGGCAAAAAAAAAGGATCAAGCTATAAAAGTCTATATATGTGCAAATTGTTCATTGCAAAAACTACTAAGATGCTATACTAATATCATAACTAGGAAATGCTTACATCCAACACATAGCAACTCTCCGAATCATAACACCATACACCAGAAAAGCATTTTATAAAGATAATTCTATTAAGATCTAAAAGACGAAGAGATTAGGAAGGATAAACTAAATATCAAAACATAATGCAGCAAAGAAAGAAAAAAGATTAACAGGCCAAAAGAAAGATGCCCGTTTGCCAACATAGAATACCTTGTATGCTCTACGCATATCTTTCTCTGTTTCAAACTCAACAAATGCATAACCACGCGAGGCACCCGTCACTGCATACAAAATATATACATAGTCAACTTGTTTTCTCAAAACAAATCAACGTGTTATATCCTTCGATTTCCCATAAATTAATCCCATGTGATTGAAGAAGATCATAGTGATGTTACTATTTTTGCTTTAGTTTTAGAATAAATTCACTAAATCCGCAGACCAGCAATAATTAGGGGATCTTAGCGAACAGTCGATACAAAAGAGACATGCAATTTATAAGTATGTCAGTCTGGAATTTATTCGCCAACATCAAAATAACCATAGATAACACGATTTTTTATGATTTTTTTTCTCGAGCGACTGGTCTAATGTACGAATCAAAAGTTTGCTGTGAAGTAACTTGTAGGTATTGTAGTGTAAAGACAATTTTGCAAAAAATATTGCTTTAACCAATGAACAAAAAACGAACACCCAGAATAATATTCTTAGGCCTCGTTTGGTTGCCAAGATAAGATTAGTCAAGATAAAATTAAATAATCTAACGAAACTCAATTTCATTATTGTACCATAAAAAAAAACATGCCTAAAAAGCATGATAACGTAATATTTGCGGGTCGACCGACCAGGCAAGTTATTTTGGGATACCAAACACCAAACAAAGTCCCACTATTTAGTTAATCACAGTTAATCTCCCCAAACAAACGAGACCTTATTAGAGAGAGAAGATTTACCTATATGTCTTACCAAACGCAAGTTCTTCACCCTCCCATATTCGCTCATAGCCTAATCAAAGATCAAAATTAGAAACCAGGCAGATTAAATAAATAAATAATAAATAAATATTTATATAACCTTACGAAGAGTGTGTTCAGTGGTGAGATGAGAGAGACGAGCAACGAAGAGAGTGCAACAAGGATCCCCAATTACTTTCGGGTCGCCAAACGGGTCATCTGCAATATTAACGGGCCGAATTTCATTATTACGATTAAAAAAAAAAAATAAAGAAACCCTAGAAATTCAATCAATAAACGGTGACGGTAGCGGAAAAAGTTACAGAGGGCGGCGTTGGAACAGAGAAGAGCTCTGTAGACGGCGTTGTCGTGGGGGTGGATGTCGGTCCCGTCGATGCTTCCGGCTTGGATCGGGTGGTAAGTCTCCGCGTAGAACACTGAATTTAAGCTTGCGCCGCTGCCGCGGCTCATTTTCAGAAAACCCGGCCGCCAAATCAAATGCTCGAACGATTGATACACTTTAGATACATATATACATATAAACCTCTGTAAAATAATTAATACAGTAGCGAGGATGAAAAATCTATTCTATTAATTTAGTGAATTATTAAAATATTGTGTTAATAATTTAGCACGTTATCACTGAGAGAAATTATTATTTGAGCAGGATTATTAATTTATATATATTTTTTTTAAATCTATATAAATTAATAAAATTGGGACCATCAAAATTCTATTAATTTAGTAAAATATGAACTCATCGATAATCTAATTTGTTTTATTTTTTTGGAGAACATTGATTTTAAATGGAAATTGTATAAATTTAAACTATTAAAAAATACACAATCACAAATATTTGAATATTACTATTTACATTATCATATATTCATATTGTTTTTTTTTTTTCAAAATAGTTGCCCGTGCACGTCACGAGCAGAAAAAACTATAATAAATGAGAGAACACAGGCGCGTCTGTATACGCATTCTCTCTCTCTCTCTCTCTCTCTCTCTCTCTCTCTCTTTGGGCTAAAGAATTCGACCGTTGGAACAACCTTCGATACACTATCCGTTGCACAAAACTAGCTTTTCACCCTTCACTTCATACAACCATACACACACACACACTTACTGTGTGGAAAACAAAAAAGAAAACCCAAACATTTTGTTGAAGAAAGGAAAAATGGTCGCCAGAACGCCGGCGAAGCAGCAGAGGAAAATGGCGGCGGCGCCGCCCCTCAGTCCCACTCTTCTCAGGGAAACGGTCAAGAAGGTAAGAAATACGTTACACCCAAATCACTTTTCCTCAGCTTTTCTTTTTCTCTCTCTTACATGAAAATCAAATTGAGTGACAATCATTATAAAGTTGAACTGAGACTCACTATGATTGTTGAAAAAATAAAATAAAAAATTAATGGATAAAATTGATGAAATCATGTGATTGAAATGTTGATTTGGGGGTTTTTGGTTTGAAGGTGGATAAATGTATGGCTAGATTGCAAGAGCTTCAACACACAGTAAAAGGCGTGGGTTCGAGTCCGATCAATAATAGTAGTAGAAGCTATTTACGGACGAGTCTCCGATGCAAAAACGAGTCGCCGAGGTACTTAATTTTTCTTTTTTTTTGAATCAATTTTATTGCCCTATATCCAAATTTATTCGATCCGTAACAAATTTCATATTTGAACAATATGATAATAATTGTGCCTTGGAATTTTTCAAGGATGAAAAATGCTAATTCTCGAAAATCTCCGACCGGAAAGCTGCCGCAGATTGCAGGTTGTTCATCATTTTTTTTTCTTTTTCTCACATCCTAACAAAAATTATTCCGACGATTATTGCATTTTTTTTACACGTGTTTTTCGATTTTTCAATATTTAGAGGAATGGAGAAAAATGTCGTTACCGGCAATGCTATTGGGCGAAACAATGAGCGAAATTTTACAAGCAACTCAATTTGCAAGAAACGTAGTTGATGCAACAATTGATGACCCGAAAACTCCATTGACCGAAAAGAGAAGAAAGCCAAAACCAAACCTCGAGAATTCGGGACTCGAATCACGAAGGAGGAGAGAGAAACAAGCCGTGCTGCAAACTATACGATCGGATTCCAATACGCCATCATCTCCACTTCGAAGAGCTAAATCGAGAATAAACTTTAAGGCTTCCCCATTGGTCCAAAATCGGGAGTGTGACAAGGAAAATTGCAGGTACATTGCAAATAGAGTTTCGCCACGGAATAATAATAATAATAATATCAATAGGGCGTGGGCTAGAAAGACCGTTTTATTTCCGAACCCTTTGTTTCATTCGTCGCCGAAATCGCGGTACGAGAAGTTCTGCAAGACGAAGTCGCCTGTGATTTCAAGAAATCGACAAACTCCGCATAAGTTCTTGATCAAGTCTCCTACTCCTTGTGCGTCGAAGTTTCAAGTGAGAATCAAAAGCCCTTCGGTTTCTATTTCGCCTCCAAAAAAAGTAACCGTTTTGAGTAAGAAATCGCCGAAGGCGATGATGTCATCATCATCGGCTGCAGCTAAGCTGAGAAGATCATTTTCGCCGTCCAGGTTGGCAAACAGGCTGATGTCACCTCTGAAAGGCAGAAAATCGGAAAAGAAGAATGAGGGCGTGAAGAAGATTGCGATGAGTGGAGTGAAACAACGGCCCGTGTCTTTTTCGATCAGATTCTCGCCTCGGAGAATTTGAAGAGATGATATCATCAGATGTTTGTTTTGTGTTGTAGATATTTCCTCAATGTCCCAACATTGAATTCTGAATGTTGTATTTCTTTTTTTCTGTAATTTGCTATTAGTTTGTTTTATTAATTGAATTTTTGTAAAAATTGCAATTGTAATTTTTTATCCCTTTAATCTGAAGAAACTGAGCAATCTATTTTGAATATTTTCTGAAAATTCCATTTTCATAACACGAAAATCAAAGTATTTTTTGTAATTCATAAACTATCTTTGTTCAGTTGATTCTAAATTCTCAACATATAAAGGTAGGGTAAATTACTGCCACCCCTGAGGTGTAAGGTTAAATTACGAAAAAAAACTCTCCTATTTGGGTAATTGCAATCACCCCCACTCAACTGTGAATCATCTTCTTACATGTGGCTTATGTTTTCTAGTTTGTACTTGTTTGTGCAAAAATGAAGTTTCTGATGCACCACAATCTGATAGCCAAGAGACACATCTTATTTCAAAATGTGGGGCTCGAATGGGGTAAAACGGGTACAAACTGGAGAATATTCTGCATAATCTAGAAGATTCCACTAAATTTGACACCGCAAGGATGGACTTGTAAGAAGATTCATAGTTGAGAGGGTGATTACAATTACCCAAACATGAGGGGTTTTTTTTCGTAATCTGACAAACAATGCCTTTTTTTTCAGGGGGTGACCGTAAATTTACCCTATAGAAAGTAAGCATGCAAAAGAAATTAGAGAAACAATGCCTTTTGCAATCTGGAAAGAAAAATAGCAAACCATTGTAATATAGCAACTACATGAATCAAGAAGAAATATTCAGTATCAGTAAGCAAGAAGCATACACACTGGCAAGTAACATCTATAAAAGTAAAGAAAGCAAATGTCACAGATATATCAAGAAAAATGTGCATATTTAATTGAAGTCTATATATATTCTCTTTCTTCAAGACGGCAACAACGAAGATCGTTTGTTCTTCATGCCTTTCAGCTTCAACGGGCTCCAAACCAAGTGTTTCTTCTGCAGTGCTATAACGGTCGGATGCTTTGGCTTCCACGAACCAGGCTGCTGTGAAGGTGGACTCCCTCTGAATTTACTACTTCTATGCCCAATCGGAGTTGTTTCAACAGTAGTTGCGTACAACGACACTTCTCTCGGTTGTGGCAATGGAGAAGAAACCCTCGAAGTTCGCCACACTCTTTGTGGGTCCCACACAAACGATTGCCTCCCCATCACACGATCATTCTTTGGTCTGCCAAGTGGTGTTTTCATGCTTGACTCGGTGTGAAAAGTTGCTATAGAGGCCCTTCTTTTCGGCTGAAAAACCTGGCCTGTTTGTTGTGCCGCTTGTGTTGGTCGTACAGCGATAGAACCTCGTCTTGGTTTCAAAATCATCGGCTGCTTTCCCCTGTTGCTGTTGTTGTTCTCTTTAAGCTCTTCGTTCACAACTGGAAGAAAGGACATGTTCTTTTTGTTTGAGGTGGCAGCGGCAGAAGGTTGAACGGGCATGAAGTTTGTGATTCTTCTAAGCGGCGGCCTTAGTTTCGATGGAGCTAATGGTGGTTTCTTATTATCTGTTGCGACCTTTTGTGTTGCTGTTTGGTTCGATGTCGTTGACAAAGCCGACTGTGTGGAAATCGAAGCCAGTGCTCTGTTTTCCTGTTTCAGTCTCGTTTTCCTTTCCTCGGCTAATTGGTTTTCGAGATCCCGTACCTGTTGGAGTGAATATTTCAAGCAATCTCAGTCTATGGACGAAAAAAAACACCCCTTAAGCTTTTCTAATACATGAATCATATTAATAATATTTTACCTTTTCTTGAAGATTTCTGCAAATATGTTCTCTGGCAGCAAGCCTTAACTGCAAAGCCTGCATATTGTCCTGCAACTTTTTCGTTTCCTTCTCGTCTTGTTTTGCCTTTTCTGCCTGTTTATGCAAACACGTATGTTTAGTTGGAGGAATTGTTAAAAATAAATTAGAAAGAATTATCAGTCGATATAAGTGTGCTGCTTTCATACAAGCTGTTTGTATTTGAAAAGCTCGGCATGATCTGTCTGTTTCCGAGCAGGCCCGTGTTCAACTCCTCGGACACGACTTGCGAAATTCAAGGAGCAAAGAGTTTCTCCAAAATCAGTCATGTTTGGGCTGATTTGAACAAACATCAAAGTCTTACAATCTCCTCCTGCATTAAATTTCCACTTGATATTATTGATATGCAAAGCTATATATAAAAATTAAAACATTCTCCACAATATCTTATATAACTCATTGAATCAATGGCAAAATCAAGTAACTCACCTAGAGAACTTTGTAGCATATGAGTAAGTTTCGAATTCCTGTTTGTCCACAAAATAACCTTGTTAGGACAGAACTTATGGAACAGTAATTACGAGACACACACAGGAAAATAAGAGAGGGAAATAAGAAAGGGTGCGTGCCTGTAAGGAACATGAGATGTTTTGGAGGCAAGAGCAGCGATAACATCCCCCAGCGCCGATAAGGATTTGTTTATGAACTGAGATTCTTTCAATCTTTCACCTTCAACTTCTATCCTGCCAACACGCTCACTTCCTGCGAGGTCAACCAGCCACAAATGGCTTCTTGCTCGCTGCCCATTTATTAAATTTTCTCCTACCACACTCACCCGTAACAAACTGCAATAATATTTTAAAATAATTAGACAAAACAGTCCAATACAGCTATTTAAACCAAGAAAAGAGCAATGCAATTTAACCAGAATGCACTCATAATTACCAGTGAGAACGGCTACTGAGCTCATTTGCATTGGTTGATCCAACAGATCTTGCTTGACTTCCGGATTTTAGCAGGGCCCAAACTTCGTCTATGCCATAAACACGAGCTTCAACAAGTCCTGGGACTTCTTGAGTACCCTCAGCTGATTGTTTTATCTCCAACCTGTATTTATCATACAATTATTATTCAAACCAAGCACTAAGAAAGAAAAAAAAAATAATAATTAAAAATAAGGCTTAATGATCAAGAGCTACTGACAATAAGCTATCTTGAAAGAATCCCAATCCCAATCCCAATTAAATGGCAAAACATTTGGAATGACAAGTCAAAAGCAAAATCAAGTCATTTATTTAGCGTGATTGTAGATCCAAGAGATATCACTATATGCAGCTTTTTTTTGTTTATTACGTCTTAAATTTCTAAGAGTATATATATATTTAAGGAAGATTGAAAGAAGCTTACTTCTTTGCAGGTTGGTTCGAATTGTCAACCAGGAGGTCCCTTATCTTTTCATTGTAAACCTCTAACATGCTGACAAGCAATTCATATCTCATAATGCCACTTCTCTCCTTAGATATTCGAAAAAGTTCCTCCAAAGTCCTATAGTTTACCCCCCTATTATCCGGTGTTCCTTCCATTGTGTATGTCTTTCCCGTGCCAGTTTGCCCATACGCAAAGATACACACATTGTAACCATCCAAGACAGAGGTCACTATCGGTAGAGTTTGAACAAAGACATCCTCTGCATAATAGAAATGACATGGATGAATAACGGAACTGATACACGAACAATTAGAAAGAAGAAGTATACACATAGCAAAACGAGCATCAATGTTACATTCGATGTTACCTTGGTTATCCTCGGGTTTAAATACGTGATCAAATTTGAACTGCTTCTTGGAAGAATCAGAGGAAATGATCTGTAGCTCATTCTCTTGAGACGAGTCAAAATCAACGACCGATGTTGAACCTTTGGCAATCTCATCTTGTTTCATCGGCCTGCACCTACAGAAGACTCTAATATTTCCTTTGAGTTCAATCACTTCATTGTAAAGCTTCTTTCTTTCTGAGCACTCTTCGAGATACTTCTTTTTCAGCAGATCACACTCTTCATTGTACTTATTTTTCAAGTTCTCGTATTCTGCACCTAAAATCGAGTAGAATAGAGCATACAAAAATAGTCAATTATACTCAGAAACCTTCTAAAGAATCTAAAGAAAACATAAGACCATTCAGAAGAGGAGGCATACTGAGATTCTGCAGAGCAGTCAAAGCTTCCGAACCAATGAGAGAATCGGCAGTCATGCCCTTTACTTCATCACACAAACGTGCATGTTCCTTTCTCATAACCTGAAATAGGAATAAATGGTTAAAGCCAAACACCGAAAAAGTAACCGTTGAAACGCAAATGCATCAACCGTCAACCGTTTTTACCTGTACTTTGTTGCTCAGATCTTGAATTTTCAGAAAAATCGGAAGAGTCTGGCCCTGATAAATAGATGTTTCCCGAGTATCATCAGAAGCACCACTGATATCCACTATATCACTGTTTTCTTCAATATGCCCTGATTGCAACCCCAAATCAAAAGATCAGTTCCCAGACTGAAAATTAAATTGCCCTAAAATTGCCCCAATTCGACATATATACTATCCCCAATTTTCTCCAGGATTTTTTTTTCCTGATTTTGGCCGCAATTTAATTTATATCACCAGACTGAATTAAATTACTCCAAAATGCTTGAAATTTTCTTGGGCAAAAGAAATCTACAACCGAGTATAACCCAGGAAATATAATGATTTAAAAAAAATTAAAATTCTTAAATCCAGTGTAAAGAGAAAGAAGAGAAGACGAACCATCTTTTTGCTCCGGAGTTTCTACGGTTTGATCTGCAACAATTTCTATTTCTTTTTCCAACAAAAGAAAAAAATCATAATTAAAATCGAATTAACAGTGGGTAAATAATAGCAAATACAGATCGAAGACACATGAAATTAATCACAAATTTAGAGAAACCAACCAGAATTGCGAGGGGTTAGCGTCACAGCATTATCGAAATTTGAACACAGTGTATCTAGGGTTTGATCTGTAATTCACAACCAAACGATTATACAAAAAAAAACCACTGTGAAATGCGCACGTTTGAGTGTGTGAATGTGTGTGAGAGAGAAAGAGAGAGAGAGAGAGAGATAGTACCATCCATGATCACAGTGAAACAGCCTCTTTCTCTGCTTGATTGACTGTAAATCGATGAAGCAAAATACGTATTTCCAGAGCTCAAAAATGTAGAGAGAGAGAGAGAGAGAGAGAGAGAGGAGAGAGAGAGAGATGAAAAAAATGCAAACGGTCGGGAGGAGGGGATTTCTTTTGTTTATGGGAAAACGAATTTGAAATTGGAGCAATCTGTGCCGTTCAAATTGTAAGTACTCTATGTAACGGCTATAATTTGATTAATGAGGTGGGCCGGGCCGGGCTGGAATGGGAGCGTTACCGACTGGAGCTCCATTTACATTTCCGGGTCAATTAGTCATATATGATATTTGATTATTTTTATGTTTCAAGATTTTGAATTCTTAACATTCTCCAAATCAAGTTCAATTTAGATTTTTTTACTCGTAAATCCCAAAAATAATTTCGATTTCTTTTAATATGTATTTTAGCTTGATTGTTGATTGATGAAAAAATAGTTATATACTCAAAGAGAAATAGATTGTTTTACTGCTATCTATAATATAAGAAGTGAATAGTATTTTAAAAAAATCACTTTTAAAATAACTTTCGGTATATTTTTGTTTGATCCCACTTTGCATCTTTGAAATATACAATTTTGGCACTTTGCACCCTCAAAATAAATTAATAGTACTTTGCACCCTCGAAACACAATATATCATGCATAATGCACCCCACAATAATATTTAAAACTAATAAAGGTGATTTAATTTTTTTAGTGGTATTTAAAAATTATATTTTTTATCACAAAAATATATTTTATAAAAAAAAAATCCTTCAGCCATGTCGTTATCAAGTTATCTGAAAATCATATTTTCTCCAAATATTTCTACCTAATATTCCCACCTATTACAATAAAAAATCTATCA